TTGAAATATATATATATATATATATATATACTGTGAAACAGAACCTTCAAAACTGGGTTTAAAAAATTTGAAAAGGCCTAAAATGGAGTTGTCCTTATTAGTTTCTAGAGAAAATTTCGATGCTTTCCCTAGAGATTTGATAGCTGTATGTGCTATGTATTGTGGGGGGTATGAAAATTCACTCAATAAAACTTCAAGTGTAGCGTGATTCAGCCTTCTTAAGAGGAATAATTACTTATGGTCTTCGAGAAGCAGTACATAAGACACTGGACGATTCATGTGCGAAACGTACAATTGAACCGATTCATTCATCATATGGTTCTATTTTTACGCCACTGACGTCGTACGTCAAGACCCTATAATATGTAGTGTCTATAGATTAACACTGAACGCCCGTTTGTTGAAGTAAGCACGAATGAGAGTGATTTTTCACAACTTCGCCGAATTCTGACTTCACAATTTAAGTATTAAGAAACGTTTATAGTCGGGAGAGAGTCCCTAAGATATTAGTGACTGACAATGGCTCTCATTTTGCGGCAGACATGATCATTACTATCTAGCTAAATTTTATAGAGTTCAAACATCTGTTAGCTACTCTCAGACACACCTATTCTAGTATTTGTAAGATCCATTTTGGATGTTTTGTGTGTTGGTGAAAATCCCTCCATGTATATACTTGGACTTTGTTCCTATTGATTCCCTTAGTTGTACACTGTTGTTTTTTGATTACATTTGAATTGTTAATACTTGTATTTTTTATTATAGATTTTGTTTTTCTTACGCATTCACTAAGTTTGTGTTTCTTTCTGAACTGCATCTGTGTTGTTTTACTTGACACTTGTTCTTGGCGGTAGCCATATTGATTTGCTCCTCCTTTTGTGTGCTTTCTATCCAGTTAGGATATAATAACGTTCATCTGTTGTGACTGGTAATTTTCCCTCATCTTTTATCAACTTCTTTATTTATTGTAATTTAGATTTGATTGATTGAACAATTATTGGTTGAATAGCCGGGTAGTAATATTTGTTTAGGTAACGATTTACCTATAAATTTATGATGAATTATAGAACCGCTATTTACCCGATTACTTGTTTTGATTTCGACGGGAAAGGGCGCGTGTCTAACGTACCCGGACGGTTATTCTTCTATCCAAACCGTAGTTTGGATTCTACAGTATTCACGCAAAAAATTTCGTCAAGACATTCAAAAACGCTATTATATCCGCTGCTGCTTTAACATTTTGTGAACTGGAGAGAAGGTTAGACAGATTTCTGCTACAATATGGAAATGCTAAACATTCTGGAGCGACAGGGACTCCATCAAAGTTTTTAGGAGAAAGGGTTCTTCATCCAAACATAAGTTACTTAGAGTCTTTAGAAGTTAAATATTATCATGGGAATGATATTCGGCCAGGCACGGAGATATTTGCAGTGAATTTTTGAAAATCTACTGTTAGAATTCTAGATCTCATTGATTTAAGTACACATAATCGACATGTTGATAAATTGCAATTCCAGGGACTATATGAGTGCTCTAATATCGGCAGTCAATCCTAATATTAATGAGAATATTCTAGGTTACATATAATCCATATCCAAGACGCAACCGGTCAGGTACATGGTGAAACTAAGGAAAAGGCATACAATCCATCATAGAAATTCGGGTTGCTATTTAAGCTGTGACGGTCCTGGTATTTGCACTTAATGGTAATTCGTTTGTGCTTGATTGCTCATTGATTACGAATACGAAATGTGATACGTTCATTTGTGTTAATGTAGTATTACCTACCTAAAACTTTATTATTTATGGAATCATTAGTTATTACATTAATTCGAATACTTATAATTATCACAACCTGTTCAGATTTGTAAGTGATCTGTAGCGGTATTGGTACCTTAACACACGATCTTTGAAGCCAGACAGATGATGACTGAGAAGACTTACATCTAACACTTAACACTTAGAGTAAGTGAAATGGCGAATGTTGCAAAACTCAACCGGTAGGACATGACTCGGCCATGCAAGTGTGAATACTCAATGCAACCTCTTGCTTGTCATATTATATGTTATCCTTTGTCATACTCATATATATTATTCGAGAACCCTTAGCGCAAATTAATGACTGTCAAGATTGTACGAATCATCATATATAGGGGTGTGATGTCCACGTAAGTCTGACAGACCAAATATTCATATCATGAGAAATCCACAACTGTGGGATAGGTCAATTCCATTCTGGTGGCATAAATAAATGTACTAATATATTCATATACAATAAATCTACAGATGTTTTCCAATCATTCTTTTATACTAATGGACCGAGTGCAAATGTATAATGAGCGAATTTGTCAAACCCCCCGGAGGTACCAAACTGCATCACGAGTCATGCACCAACTTGAAATCCTGAGGAAAAACGGAAAAGCGAAAGACCAAAGAACACACTACGTCGAGAATTGGAAGCAGATATGAAAAAGATGAATAATAGATAAAACACAACTGGAACGGATTGCCCTAGATAAAGTTCTATAGAGAGTGCTGGTGGGTAGCCTATGCACGTTCACGAGGAGTAACAGGTTTAAGGAAGGAGGAAGATCATATCAACGACGTCTAAACACCTCATCACCACTTGCATGGCTACAAGGAAAATAAAGTCGTTATGACACTATTTGAACGAAATCTGCTTAACAACACACAACCCATACTCTGTACACCAATATTTGATCAATTCAAAAATCAGGAAGCTCACAAAGGTGTGAAAACAGGCCGTTTTCCCTCCAATTTTTTAAAGAGACAGTAAACCTCCAACTTTCAACAGACTGGTGGTGATCTCGCCTCACGAAGTTTTAGATGCTAGTGCTTATTGTATTAGAGACATAGCATCAGTCGACTCGATACTTCACTAAGTTCACCCACTTCGTGATCATGTACAATCTTTTTTAAAATCATGTACACATCCTAACGCAGGAAACCACAATATTGCTGAAACTTCTTTTCATAGAAAGGATATGGTGGAAGTTATTGGATTCACGTTCAAATTTAGGTGTAAAATACAGCTTTAATTATTCCAACCCGTTGTTAGAATTACAATGAACGGTGAACAAAATGCAATGAGTGGTTTATTTCAACAACCTTAAAGTAAAAATCACTTGTAGACAATAATGGTTATTCATTGGACCTTTCTAAAAGTCTTTCAGCTCTTCTTTTCTCTTTTTTCTGCACGATCTGCCATCTTCCACAGAAAACACTTTTGTGAAGTATGCGGATGACCTCACTGTATGTATGTCTATCTCTTCCTCTTTACGTCCCATAGAAATGAATGAGTTTTTGTCTCGTATTGATTGTTGGTCTGTTGGTAATGGTCTTATACTTAATCCGTTTACATGTCAAGCTGTTAACTTTAGCATAAGACACGAACGACATCTAAACACCATTTTGAGATCCCTTAATGCTTGTGCCATTGGAGACTCTTTGATAAACTCAGTATCGAAGGTCAATTATCTTGGTGTCACCTTTTCCTCTGATCTGTCTTCGTCTTCCCACGTTTTATTGTTATCGAAGAAGGTTTTCCGTCTGACTTACTACATAAAGAGATTGCATGCTCTTGGGAGTACTCGTCATTTACTCTTACAATTTGTCAATTCTTGCATATTACCTAGTATTCTTTACTGTTTTCCATTATTCTTTCCCGGGCTTTTGAGAAAAGACTTTGCTGTATTGCGGAGAGTGCTGAAGGCAGTTAGCAAGGTGTGTGGTGAATCTTTCGAGGTCATAATTATTATAGCTGTGGATAGACATCTAAAGTCATGCAAACTCCTGGCAGGTGTTAGTTTATCAGATGCTAACCATCCCTTTCATTCTTATCTTTCTCCATGTACATCTGGTAGAACGAGACGTAATTACATTAAAATCCATGCACGTAGGCAAAAGTATAAAAGTTCTATAATACCTTACCTAACAAATATGCTCTGTGACGAACGGGTTGTTAAAGTTAACCTAGTCAACAACCTGCATTTTTAACATGTCTCTGATTTGAAAAGTAGTACGGTTTTTCAGATTTTTTTTAGACCTTTTTTACTTTTTTTGTCTTTGTTTCTGTTCCTTTGTGTAAGACACTTGTTGAAATACCCTGTGCTGAGAATTTTTATATTGTACCAAAATATAATACTGAATAAAGCCATTAATAATAATAATATTGCGTATGCTGGCTTTGCTCACTAGCGCTGATTTCCAGCCACAACTTGTGAAATCACCAGAGCCAAAGCTAACCCCGACCAGAGGACGGAAAGCAAATTTGTTGGTCTCGAAGAAAAAATGTTTTCACAATTAAGCATGAACAATCGTATCAACGATTCAGCCTTTTTTTACAGATGCACTTATCATGAAACGAAAATGTACAACAAAGTGGGTCACAGTATTAGAGGGAAAGCTTACTCAGACATGAACATCTGGAGTTAATGTTAGTGTTATAGCGTAAAATGTTATGAAAAGCTTACGAGTGAGCTCAAAATTTTCCATAGAGTTCGCCATTGCTATCTACGAAGTAGCTGTAGGAGAACTGAATAATAAGTGACAGATACCTAGGCGAGTGTCGCTTTCTCACTGTTGGACAATCCCATAACTAGTGCTTTCCCTTGCACTCCTTTCTTCGTTCTTACTTTGGAACCTACCATGTTTTGAGCAGCTAGTTGAATGCCTTATAGATCGGGAGCAACTAATTTAAGTAGTCACAGTTTCTAAATGCAAATACACTCATTCATACTGAAGATACACAAACCATCAAATGACTTTCGAATTCACTTGAACTATTGCAGTCATGTAGCTAGACTGCTAACATTGATCGACAACAGAGACCATTAAACGTACATGGACGTTCAGAAATGGATTCATGAATACTCTTTCATCGATGATTGATTTTCTGGAAGGCTAATTCTCGTAGATTTCAGAGATTAAGACCAAGTATTTTACATCGAAATGCTCATTTCCCATAATGCCGTAAAGGGGTGGAATAATTTATCATATCTTATTGCGTCAAGGCCTTCTGTTAACGTTTTAAAATTTATTGGAACTACATTGCACTGTCAACCGCGTATCATTTGACCTTATCTAAACCGTCAAAGACTAGGGATATTGGACTTTGGGTATGCGCGCGCTTATCAAATACTTTGGTATATCTTCAAGACTGTTGCAATGTGGAAATGAATTAAACATTCTTTTAACACATGTTACTTAGATGATGAGTTGCTTTCCGTACGGCCATAGAGGCAATGCCTCTTCTCATTTCGAGAGGTCCGAAGTAACACAGGTATGTTTTTCCTTTATTGGGTACAATCGATCATATGAGTATATCTCAACATGTGTTAAGATGTCCTCACAGTGTTTACTGATCAATTTTTCTGCCTTCCCTCACTCTGAGTGTCTTTTTGATAACAGTTGAAGTAGTGCATTATGTAGATTAGCTTTATACTGCGGAAATAAGGGAATCTAACCCAGTCGTTCTTACATATCATTTTTCTATAAATAAAGTGTTTTTCTCAGGTTTTTCTTCAGGATTTATTCTGCTTGAAGTTACGTTTAAATTTATTAAGTGAATAAATGCCTCACCATACATATCTTGGGTAGCCAGTACCAACCGTTGTATAATTTTCCTCAAGAATTCTCGTAAAATGTCGACAGTATCCATTATTTTTCACCTAGAACTTTTTTTCCGGTGTTTTCGTTGGTTTATGAGCTATGGATGCGTACTTGTCGTTATTCGATAGAGTTCTAAGCTAGTATTTGTTGACACGCTTGTTTGCTCACCCGTGTAATCAGCAGAGTCCTATCCATTAGGATGAAATCGGTTAATTTCCCACAGCTTAGTCACCCACAGTTAGATCAATCAAAACAAATGTTCATCCCACCCGCAACTTGTTTTATCATCAGGTAAACACTAGGTCATGGATTTGTTTTTCAAGATTTCCTCTGGCGAGACTAATTTACGGACTAATCAATCAGGTATAGGATAACAGGTCTCGAATTTTGGCCCAAAATTCATTCGTCCATTTTGCAAAATATCGCTTCGGCATTAAAGCCGGTGTCAGTTTGTAATGAAAACACAATGTAATCCCTAACCTTGACCTTTAAATGTAAATCATAATTCTTATTCCTCACACTGGTTTATAATGATCATTTGGTCTTAGTTGTTGGGTAGACACTCTCAATGTCACTCCAGCGTCGCTCGAGGGTCGTCCATAAATTACAGTCTAACCCATTTTCCTTTAGGCCAGTCGTGTGGCATCACTAACATTTATAATGTAGTTTGGAGTCGGTTAGACGACACATGTGCTTGGCAATTGCACTACACTGTTATTTTAACATATTTTTAGATGGTCGACGAAGATTCCTCAGTTAATGTGTATATGGTCACGTTATTACTTATCGACCTGTAACATCAACCCGAAACCTTTTTAAGGATTGGCTACATGTAATGACAAATTTACCTGATTATGTAGCTATAAAACAACATTTATGGGTACATATATAGTATTTATAATTACTACATTCCTGGAAAAGTTGCTAGTTAAAACCAACGGTCAGATTTAACTATATTGTTGACTATTTGGTGTACTGGTTTTTCCCCTTATATTTCAGAACCAATGCCCTGCACTGAAGTTTGACTAAAAATCTACTTAGTTAACTGAGCTGTATTTCTGATTGCACCCAATAACATGTTTATCTGTTGGTTACTAATTGTTTTATTATCTCCATTTAGTATAATTCACTGGTATATTTATGTTTCCGTAGTCTCCTCAAATGTTCACAGTATTCTACCATGAATGTTTGCTAGTGCTAATGACTGAAGTATAGCAGTTTTGAAGATTACTCTCTTTAATTGATGAATCAGTCATGTGTAGTTCCTGTTGTATTGTTTGTTTACATTATCAAGTAATAGTTTGAATCAAACCAGTCTTGTGAAATAGTGATAGTCTATTTTAAGTGTGTTAATTTATTTCTATTTTATTTAAAGGCGGATGATATAAGTAGTTATAGCTACAAGTTTAATTAACGTGGAGTCTAAATCTTGTGTATTTATATGTACATAAATTCATTGTATTCCTCGTTGTCGTTATCATCGGGGTAATTTATCCTATCAGGCTGTGTATTGACAACTGTTCATGCGTTTATCTATTTTAAGGTTCAGGGCGGCCTGAGCAAGAATTAGTATCAGTCCATATAATTGTCAACTCTTGGTCTAAGCTACATTGATATGTAAGTTTCTTAGTCAAGATCCGTGAGACATATGTATTTATTAATTGTGGATTAAGTAATATTTTTGTACAGTTAGGTGATCATGTACTCTAATCTTTGTTGGAACCAATGACACTTCTCAACCGTTTAAGCTGAAGTTCCAAGCTACAACGTAACAGATGGAATTCAAATTCTTTTGCTTTGAACTGCTGACTGTGTATTATGTTTCAAAATAAATCACAATGGTACAAGTGTTATCATTCCTTATCTTCCTCTAGACCTTAAGGGATGTATTATGTCATGCATTTTGTTTGTTTTTGGCTGTTTTGATTCATTTTGCCGCCTCATTATGATTCTTACTATTATTCTTAACCAATTCGTTCATTAACTTGTTAGTTTGAGGTATAATATGTTTGATTTACACGTTTCTGTTAGGTTGTAAGTTTTATCCTTAGTCGGAGTCATAAAAATGTTCTTACATATACATGAATGAACGTGTTTTATACTCAGGTATTAGTGAAATTAAGACTGTCAACCCAACGCTCACACCAAATTAAATGATATCGTTAATGAGCACCTATCACGTGTCTATTTGGTCAGTTCATTCGAGTACACAGTAATGTAAAATTTAATTAATCATACCGAGATGACCCACTAAAAGTAGTATAAATAAACGGAAGGTGGGAAATTAGACAATTGTTTAAAACTACTATTTGAATAACTTTCTCAAAAGACACACATGACCATATCTTCTCAGTTTCTCCCATAGAAGTCTTATTGTCTGCCTTAAAGTTATGAGTGTTTCTTGTAAAAGTAAATATCTGTCTATATATTCGGTTTTCTATATAGGAATCGAGGGGAACCATTACTTATTGTATGTTGTTCCTCTGTTTTATAGACTAACTTCTACATTATTTCGGGACTAGTCGTTTAAGAACGTTATCTGATTACGTTCTGTTATCAAGGTTACCACTAAATTCTCGATTACAGAAAAGTGAATATCTGGATATCTTTTAGAATAAAAAATTAATAATAAAACACTTTTTTTCTTGATTGTTGTTATCGCTTTATTTGTGTTCTTTTCTCATGTTTTTCAGAATTGGGTGACTAATCCTACACATGGTACTGATACTACAGGTGGCAGAACACCTGCACCACCCTTAAGGACAACAAGCGCACCTCTTGGAAGGTAATTATAAACACTAAGTGTATTCTTGTATCGTCCTTTCTATTTCCAGTACCATTGAAAATATATCCTTTAAACCGAATAAACCATTACCACTTACACCAGTGGAAGAAGAAAAACGTGACAAAAAGAAATACAAAAGTAATTATTTGATTGATTTTCTTAAAATATCCTAATCGTTTTTAACTAAAGGTGGTGCCAGTAAACTTGGAAAATTCAAACCATCTATTATGCTAAATATATCAGCACCAGTTAATGTTATGCATAAAGTACACATTACAATAGATCCAGTTACTGGTGAATTTGAGGTATGTGTCTTGAATGCTCTTGGTATTGTTTTTTCCAGTGTTAATATAAAAGATAAAAATTATCACTAAAGTTTAATCACAATTAGTCTTATGGTGGCGTTTACTTCGTCCCATTCTATTCATAATATAGAACTTTTCCCGAACAGTTATTGTTTAACGAAACCTTATGATATATATGATTCCAAGGAAGTTTAGTTTGTTTTTGAATAATAAAATTGTACATTCATGAAATAATTGGCTAGATGTCTAGGTGTGTCAAATCCTCCGGTCTTACTATATGTTGCTAATATCCAAAAAAATATCAAGTGTCCAATTGTGAAAGCTTCCGTCTCTTAAAAACTTGGAAATCTAATCATATCTCTGCTAATGTTAAATTTATGTGATATGATACCTAAAAATCAGGCCTAACAACCAGATCTTGATTGATTGAAGAGTGAATGGCTTACAAACTAGTTTTCTTCCATCATATATGATATCTCATCGTGTTTACTTCGTGGTAATACTTTGTGTATAAGCATGTCACTTTATTATATAAAAAATTAATTAGTTTAATGATTGCTAATTCACCTTACCCATGTGACTTCACCCCATTTCATCGCGCGTTAGATTACCATTTGTTTGTACGTCACGTCCGCGAGACGATAGCAACCGGTGGTTAGAGACCTTGAATGACATGACTCAAAATCGTTTGCAATGGCACAGGTGCATCCACTCTTTGTGTTCTCCCAAATTCTAATATTCTAAATTCTTCTTGTCCTTTTCTTTTTTCTCTTTCCAAGTTTATTTCACTGGATTATACTCCTTGAATAACATCTTCAAACCCGAATGTTTCCAATTACTGCTTATACTCTTACTACCTCTATCACTACGGGATTTGAATCGACAATTGTATCTGTATGCTAATGTGGTATGACAACTCGAACTGATGTACGTACGTACGAAGTTCTACGTTGTTACTGACTGGCTGACTGTTTGTGTGTCAGTGTTCCAGTCTACCTAATTCTCACAATTCCCGCTCCATAGTAAAAGAATTTCTTAATCGCCTCAATACGGAAGTTCCGAACCTTAATTCAGTTAACAAAAATACACCAAAAATGAAAATAGAATTACTGCTTAACGACATCAAATAGTTTTGACTTATAACTTCTTTTTCGACGTGGTAGTAGATTCACTTTAATTATCTCAATTACTGATTTCCAGATAATTAATAGGTACTCTTCATTGCATCATGTCAAAATAATTATAAAACAGCTTATTAGATTGAACATAAATCTTCATGAGATCAATCTTCAGACCTTAACTTTGTATATTAGTTGGTTAAATTATCATTGGTAATACGTTGAATCAATATCTATCATTCGACACACACCCAGTATAATTAAATTATTGTCATATATAACAGGTGCCCCCAAATGCCCTGGTACGGCCGAGAGTGAGGAGAGTTCGCTCTCCATCTCGAAATGCTCCCACACGGTCACGCATATATAGCCTCTGTCAGGGAAGTCCTACTCACTGCCTTCTCGTGGCGGGGGTGTTGTTTACGAAAATGAGGGGACGAAAAGGGAATGTCCGGCGCTTTAACCGGATCCCAAACCAAACCAATGATGCACATGGGCTCCAGTATCCTGAGGGAACAAATGGCGTATGAACCAATTGTTGGTCACCGGCTTCCATGGAACTGCGTCTCCTTACGATGCTCCACTGCCTTGTGGGTTAGACTTTTAGGTCGAAGGCTCGAGGAGTGGCCCCCTAAGAAAACCACCTGCTTCGGTTTGGGCACCCGGGCAGTAGCTCAGCCCTCACACAAATCAAATGAGATTTGTGTGGCGCATATGTATTTGGTGCCTCCTTGTACCAATATCTATGTGTTAAAATAAATAATTTAACAAAATATATAACAGGTATTCAAATCAGATAGTGATAGTCAGTACGTTTTGTAGTTTTATTTTATCATGGCGTTTAGAAGTTCCTGTTTGGGAAGGGGGTATACTACAATTACTACTACTGCTACCACCACCACTAGTGACTGCTTGACGGTTGTCTAGTTACTATTTAATTAATGATTGACTTGGAGGTTGTCTTTCTCAATATATACATGTATATGATTATGCTTGCTTACTTGTTGATTTCCTTATAAAAATATAGGGTATGCCTCCAGAATGGTCTCACATGTTAACGGTGGCAGGCATCACAAAATGGGAACAACAACAAAATCCAACTGTTGTACTAAATGTGTTAAATTTATTGAGTAGAAAAGATGATACTCCTCAAAAATATATGACAAGTATTATAGGACCACCAAGTGGTAAGTTGCATTGATGATAGATTGTTTTATTGTTTATGATTATTTGAAGTGTTTTATATAGTTTTAAAATAGTTTTCATTAATAATTAACACGTTAATAAGACGTTAAAGATAGATGGACTTTGGAACTTGTCCCATTTCTCATTTAAGATTTCTCATCACTCCGTATTCTAGACATTTTCTGGAATATAATTTTGTATGTTCAGGTAAATTAGTGAAAATTCCGCCTTAATGTTACTAGGTCAGTGTTTCAAAACTTTACTTATTATGATTATGAAACATATTATCTTCAGAGTTAATTGTTTCAATAGATCGACTCTTTGAATAATCTCGTTTTCGGAATTATTTCCTCTTGAAAATTGGTCTGTCATTGTTTCGGTATATTTTTTTGGGAGCAAACCTTATGGATCGATTCCATTATTAGAAGATATATGATACTGGACAGTTAATTCATCAATTCTTAAAAGTTCTTTCCAGTAAATATGTATTACTTTACCAAAATCAATTATATTATAGGACTTATTAGGTATTGTTTACGAAATTGGGAGGACGAAAACCGAATGTCCGGCGCTTTAACCGGATTGGTGGATACGGAGGATTCACCTAGAGAAGTTGAAAAACCCTGATTCCAAACCAATGGTGCACATGGGCTGGCTTCAGTATCCTGAAGGAAAAAATGGCGTATGAACCTATTATTGATCACCGGCTACCATGAGACTGCATCTCCTCACATTGCTCGATGGTCGGGGTGTGGTCCCCTAAGAAAACCACCTCCTTCGGTTTGGGCACCCTGGCAGTATCACAGCCCTCACAAAAATCGAATGATTTATGTGGTGCCTTCTTGTGTCAATATTTATGTCTTTAAATAAATAATAAATAAATAATTATTAACAAATTAATTAATATTTCCCAAATATTAATCGATATAACATACTACGGACATGATAGAGTTGTGGGTTGGCGCTTTGAGTGCTCCACTTTCAATCGTTCCATCGGTCGTTTGAATCGCACCACACATAATCCGTTTGAACAGTCAAATATTATCATCATCATTTACACAAAAGGTGGCGTAAAGCGGAATACGGGGACATGTCCTTGGTAAACGAGTTGCACAAAATTATATCAGTTATTTTCAACTTCCAGCTTATGGTTTAAATGGTTAGGTTGTATCACTTTCAGTACCACACAATGTGTTCCTATGTACCTTAGTGCTTAATACTGTATATTGTACCATCTCCTTGTCAGCCTACGTCTTTGGGTAATGGAAATATTTGAAAATGAAATCCAACATTTACACACTAGACTCTAAGTTACACTTACTATACACAGTTGTTTAGGATATTACTTTAGGGGTGCTAAAATGCGTATAGATGGAATAGGAATCATATGCTTCACTCAGTTCTCGTTACTCACGTCTCTAATTCACTGATTTCTTGGAAACCGAAATTATATACTGTTATTATCGTGTCTTTTCTAAGGTAGATTTCCCTGATATCATTATTAATATAGTTTTTGTCCATAGTTTATCACATTAATCAAGCATTTGTTTCCACTCTTACATGTGTTGATGCTGTCATAATTTAGTATCTTAATGCATAGTTTAAAATTGTGTAGTTTCTGTTAGGTTAGATTTTTTTTACTAGTTCCTATAATATCGGTTATTTCTCGGTGATCGATCAACTTAGATATTCCAGACTTGAAAGAAGTGATTTGTCACCCAAATAGTTTAGCTTTATCATCTATGCCTGTAATATTACCTTGTTGATAACTCTCAATGAATAAAAAGTCAAAAGACTCCTGGAGATTACTTCTAGTGACCTAATGACTTGTTTTCTTCATACATCACGAGATTGCTCTGAGATTAAAATTTAGTACACAGTATCTGTTTACCCATCAGTGTGTCGAGCGTAGGATATAATAGCGAAAACTGTTCCGTTAAAAAAGTACAATCAGAAGGAATTCTCTCAGTTGGAAAAGTTCTTTCCATTTTTATTAAGAAATTGAATGAAAATTACAGCACGATCACCACTGTTTCTATTCTGAACCATGTCTAACACTATTTCAAAACACTGCTTCGCATTTTTTCACGAACTTGGAGTCGTAGCGGTCGAACAGATGTCAGTCCTGTACGATTTCCTTTCATGCGGCAGCGTCAAATCAAACTGACCACCTCTATACTTTTTCCAAATAGTCTTAGCATCGGCGAAGAAGGCAGAATGTAGAAGTTACTGAGGTAGCATTCGTAGCACATGTTCAAGCCACCGGAACCATTATTTCAAGATGATGGCATCATTTGTGTGTGTTTCTTTTTTCCTGTTGATGTTAAGGACTCCAGACGACCAATCCCTTTTGACATACGTGCATGTTGAGCGAATCGCCTCCATGTTGACATTTAGTCAAGAAACTTGGTGAAGCTGAATTATAGTTAGCAGTTAAACCCAGGACGTGAGTCCTACCCTTTTTGGAACCCATCAAATAGCTGTTTGGATTTAATAGTTCAGTAGATAACATGTTGACTCTTGAAGCGGTACTGTGGTAATTGATTCACATCTAAGTATAAATGTCAACATTCGGATGTAACAGGTTCATTCAACTGCCTGAACCCAAATAGGCGAAAAGTGCGTCCTAGATTTAATTGCTAACCATACTTCAGCTTGACTGTCGAGCCAATCCGCTAACAAAGACTGATCAGTAGCAATTTCAAATAGCATCAGTTGGAAATTACAAAATGTAACCCGTCTGCAATTAAACACATAAACATTAGTACAAGAAGGCACCAAACAGATATGCGCCACATAAATCATTCGATTTGTGTGAAGGCTGTGATACTACCAGGGTGCCCAAACCGAAACAGATGATTTTCTTAGGGGATCACTCCCGAAGCCTTTGACCCAAAGATCTAATCCACAAGGTAGTGGAGCAACGTATGGAGATGCAGTCTCATGGTATATGGTAACCAACAATTGGTTCATATGCCTTTCGTTCCCTCAGGATCCTGGAGCCCATGTTTACCATTTGTTTGGAATCAGGGTTTTCCAACTTCCCTAGGTGGACCCTCCATATCCGCCAACCCGCTTAAAGGTCCGGACATTCGCTTTTCACCTTCTCAATTTCGTAAACTATAGTATTGCCACGAGAATGCAGTCAGTAGGACTTGTGTGGCAGTGGTTGTTTCCACGTGGCCATGTCAGAGCATTTTGAGAGGGACAGTTGACTCTCCACACTCTCGGTTATACCAAGGTATTTTGGGGCAATCTACTTAATTACTGATTATCAACTGTCATTAACCTGATAAGAATTGTTTTCCAAGAAAAAAAGCTGTTGTTTTATCACTGTGATATAAACTTACTATTTCAAACCATGAAGTAGGGCGATTTTTGATGTATAGGTACTCTAACGAATCATCATACATAATCAAGTCTCATAGAGCTTAATACATTTGAACAGTCAAATAACAAATGATTTTAAATAGTTAGTTGTAGTCAACTAAACATTTCATTACATTAATACACATCCTAGTAAAAACATCCTTCTCCTTATGTCATTCAATTGTATTAACAAAATGGAATTAGGAAATATAAGTTTCTACCGAACTTCAGTTTGTTAATTAATAATAATATCAGAAGGGGTTTTGTGGAGATTGTAGTAATTTCAACAGTTGAGATCATGAGTCAATTGAAGCTAGACCACCATGGAAAACCTGGAAGCACTGGACGGCCGTGGTGGTGGTCTAACTTCAATTGACTCATGATCTCAACTGTTGAAAGTACTACAATCTCCACAAAACCCCTTCTGATACTAATCAACATATGCTCACTAGTGACTGGCTTCAAGAGATATATCCTGGAGTTCTAGTGAGAAGCCGTTACCAGTGGAGTTCAACCGGGTCAGTTGTGAGATAGTAACTCACTGATGACAATGGTAGATGTGTCGCTCAGTTTCGTGGATTAGTTAAAGTTAGACATTAACACCGTTGAATGCCGGCCAACTCAGTGGTCTAGTTGGTTAAGCACCTGGCGCGAGACTGATAGGTCCTGGTTTCGAATCCCGCGAGGCGGGGTCGTGGATGCCCACTGCTGAGGAGTCCCACAATGGGACGAAACGGCCGTTCAGTGCTTCCAGGTTTTCCATGGTGGTCTAGCTTCAATTGACTCATGGTCTCAACGGTTGAAATTAATAATAAAGCAATTAATTAGTGCGAGACAAAAAAAATTTGTTCGGAACAATAAATAAATCAATATGTGATTGTTGGACTGCATTTACTTATATAACTATTCAATTTTTGTACTATAGCTAATATTATTCAAAATACCAATAGTGTTTTGAGATGCAACGTACCAAATGAATACAGGATCATGTACTGGTTAGTAATCACTAATATAAAGATTTCATTGATCTAAATTTCGCTGTCCCGATCGTACTCGCTCTCTTAATTGGATAGTTGGCCTTACTTGTCGTGTTGACCCTGTAAAGCTATATTGGCTAGAAAACTTGTTTCTTTAGGCTCTACTATGTCAGAAATGTCGGCTGGAGTACTGTATTGCTAAAAGCATAAACTTAAATTGTGATGAAGTTGTACTGCAGCTTGTGGAGATACTACCTCCTCACAACAAAAGGAAGGGGTTAGGAAATGTCAGTTCTGAAAATAGCACACCTTACCTTTGATCTGACGACAAGAAACAGATGCCTGAATTATACTGAGGCAGTGTGATCGGGCCGTTTATACAAGAAAGCGATTGTATGGTCCGGTCCGAGTACTAGTTTTTTCTCTTGCATTGTTTATTTAGTACCTATAACCTGCCAACCAATGACACGATGAAAATGAGATATCAGCCATGAACAATACTCAACAACTATTGGTCCAGTTTCCTCAAGCTCGTTCGCTCAGGATAGATCACAACACAGGAAGTAGATACATTCTAACTAGACAGTTCAATCTTATAACTCAACTCATACAATAATAAAGAGTAAAATCTTAATCACGCGTCAACGTAGTTAAGA